CCTGCAGAGAAGGACTTGGTACTGGTGGATGAAAAGCTGGATATGAGCTGGCAATGTGTGCTTGCAGCCCAGAAAAACAACGAAATCCTGGGCTGCATCAAAAGAAGCGTGGCCAGCAGATTGAGGGAGGGGATTCTGCCTCTCTGCTCTGCTCTGATGAGACCTCACATGGAGGACTGCGTCCAGCTCTGGAGCCCTCAGCACCAGAAGGACCTGGAACTGTTGGAATGGGTCCAGAAGAGGGCCACAAAAGTTATCTGAGGGATAGAGCACCTCTCTATCAGGCCAGGCTGGGAGAGTTGGGGTTGTTCAGCCTGGAGAAGAGAAGGCTGCGGGGAGACCTTATTGCAGCCTTTCAGTACTTAAAGGGGGCCTATAGGAAAGATGGGGGCAATCTTTTTAGAAAGGCCTGTTGTGACAGGACAAGGAGTAATCGTTTTAAACTGAAGAACAATAGATTTAGATTGGATATAGGAAGAAATTTTTTACAATGAGGATGGTGAAGCACTGGAACAGGTTGCCCAGAGAGGTGGTAGAGGCCCCATCCCTAGAAACATTCCAGGTCAGGTTGGATGGGGCTCTGAGCAACCTGATCTAGTTAAAGGTGTCCCTGCTCACTGCAGGGGGGTTGGGCTAGATGATCTCTGAAGGTCCCTTCCAACCCAAATCATTCTATGATTCTATGATTCTAAGAGACCTCTTGAGTTCACCTAGGTCAGTCTCCCGCTCAAAGCCAGATTATAGCCAACACCAGATCAGGTCAGCCACAGCTTTGCTTAGCTGGGTCTTGAAAACCTCCATGGATGAAGGTCCCACAACTTCCAGCATGTATCAATACACAGGACTAATTGCATCCCAGAGACAGGGCTTTGCATTCTTCCTCATTGAACTTCATGAGGTTTCTCATTAAGAGCAAAAATACACTATATTGTCAGTCTTCTGCCATTCAATTAATTTCTGACTTTACCTTTGTGTTTGTCATGTCCACAATGTATTGGTCTCCTTTTATGCATTCCATTACTGGGAAGCCATCTCTGTCAAGAACTTTTGCCTGAGAGTTACCAGAGACAACAAGAATGACATCTCCTGTGCTGCTATACTGTAAAGACTTGATTTGGTGACTAAAAAGAAAAAAAAGAAAAGAAAAAGAAAGAAAATGTTTCAATTAAATTCTGTTCCTGTAAGCTTACACTAAAACAAAAGTGTCAATAGTGAGAAAAGAGACCCATGTACATTCCAATACTAAAAAGACAGACAGGTAAAAAAAAAGCAAACCTGAGATTAATGGATTAAAGCTTTTTACTCCTCTGTGTGTGTGTGTGCATATCATATTTCCTTCCTCAACCACACAGCACATCAAACAATATTATTTACAAAGTTGGCATATAAAATGTCATTTCTGGCGAACATATTTAACTTTAAGAATGCTCTTAAGACTCCAAGTGAAAAATAGTTTCAGCTCTTCAGGGCTGAAGGTTCTTTTTTATCTTCTCAAAAGCAACATGTGGATTTCCAGTAATCTCTAAATGACTACAAAAGGATGTTGTAGTCCTACATAAAACTCCACTGTACATTGTACACCAGGAAATTAATCATGTCAGCATTATTGCATCTTTTTCTATGTTTAGGGCTACAGTTTCATCAGAATCTTAGATAAAGTTAAATATACCATCAACCCTGGAAACATGACAGTAGATAGCAATCTGCCTAGTCTACTATGTCTTAGATGATTGCTCATTTGCTGTAAATGTTTTCTTACATATGTCTTCTATTGATTGAGAAAACCTGGGAGAGAAATCATAGAATAATACCAAGACGACAAAAATTATTAACTGAAAGTGGGAAGATGGCTGATGAAAGAGAAATCCATTTCCAGCTTCAGCATCTTTTTGCAGCATTCTGCTTTATGAACAAAGTTCACTGCAGTTGCTGTATCTGAAGCAGATATCCCTTTGATCCCCTACCCAGCAAACAATGCAAAGCAGTCTATCCACTCCATGCCTGCCAGAATTTGTATCCTGGCATATAAACAGAACATGCACAATAACCTTACTTTATATTAATGCTTCAGCTCTGCAGCTAAATTAACCCCAAATTAAGGACTAGAATGCATTTGGCAGCTAGATTTGGATTCCCGTGGCATCCAAACTGTCCTCAAAGAATTATCTTCCTTTTGGTGAAGAACATAACATTCTTCTTTGGTGAAGAAATTACTCTTAAACACAATTTCACATCAGTAAAATTAACATTCAGGTGATCAGCAAAACTGACTATGCAACTTGTAACTTAATGATTTAATGTTTCACATCTTATATGGTAGTGACTTTGTGACTGACTCAGCAGTAGCTATCATCTGTTAAATCTGTCCTCAAACTGTGAGTTATTATGCAAAACACATAAAACATTGTAATACGTATTTTAAAAGTTCTGCATTGATCATAGTAATATAAACTAAGCATAAGTTTCTCATTCAAAAAATGTTTGGCAAAACTGATTACATTATGATTCAAAAGCCAAAAATTGCTTCAAGCACCCTATTATGTAATACAAACTGGCAGCCAAATTGGCCAAAGTATTATAAACTCTGATTTATAGTAGAAAGGAGACACTCAAATCTGGGAATTTCCGAAACAGATCACAGGCGACATCTGAAAAAGCATCTTGAGCCTCAAGAGCAAAAATGGATACTTGCTCAGAAGAGGGGAAAGAATGCCAGCCGCATTAAGCTCAGAGGAAACACTGAAAAAATTAAAAAGAAACCCACAACAGAAACAATATCTAAAGTCTAGAATATTCTCTGCAGACAGCTGATAAACCTAGACTAAAGAACCCATCAGATTCAGCTTTAGAGCAACAAGTATATCTTCAGAATTAAAAAATTTCTCCCAGTTGTACTTCCGAGTGCTCTTGCCATATCACATGATTCGTACAAAGCTCAGAAATATCCCTGAGCCCCACCTGAGTACTGCATGCAGAATGAAGTACTTATCTAGTTATGTTTCTCACATTGTAATGCTGAAATTGTCAAAAGAAAATACCCAACACATCTCCAAAGCAGATTCATGTTTTGTACTTTTCATTGTTGAAATGTAAGAACCAAAACCAAACATTTCAAATCTACACTAAAAGATCATTTTTGCTTGATGCATGCCTCATGCATGAATAGGATATGGCCACTATTTATGATCAAACAGCATGCCCAGAAGTAAAATCTGATTTCTGAGAGAATCCACAATACATAAAGGCCCACAATCTTCTGAAAAAACTGTTTTTCAGACAATGAAGTACTGAAATTAAAACTACAGACATTAAAGCTGTTAACATGGCACTGTTCATTATTTGACCAGTATTGTTTTATTGCTTCTTTGTAGTTCCCTATCAGCATGAATAAACTTTGTTTTCATCTTAGATTTAGATTTGAAGTTTCTTCTAACAAGGAAGAGCACCTGATTTTACAGCACGTAGCACAATGGGAACATAACTAATAATTCATCAAATCAGTCATGTGAAAAAAATAGTCTGACAGAAAAGATTTCCACAACCTTTATCTAAAGGGAAAAAAAAAAACCCTTTGTGACTGTGCAATACGACTTTTAAAATCATGTCCAAAAATTGGTTCTATAAGCAGGGTATTTGCAAAGCCCCAGAAGTTACCGCTTTTCAGATGTTTATTGGAGTATGGCCAAGACTGAGGCTCTGCAGAGGTAGTTCTTAAAGAAAACATTTTTGGTTCTTATTAATGTTAAAGCAAAAGTCTTGGGAAACTTACAAAAACAGTTCCTTTTAATAGCATTAATCCAAGTAATTTTGGTTTAAAGCTACCAAATGTGCCTAGTACTTTCTGACAGGACCTACAGAATAGAGCTACATACATGGGTGGAATCATGACACACAAATAATTTCTACACATGTAACACAGCTTTGCCTTATCCTTGCCTTCGCCTTTAACACCGAGGTGTAGTTTGAAGGTACTAGTTTTTTGTCACGGTCTTTTTATTTTTTCCTTAGGTCCCAAATCCAAGGAGAAATTAACAGAGTAACCTGATAGTATGCTACAAAATGGAGCCTGGACAATATCAAATTGTTCTCAGGCTTTTTCATTCTTAAAAAGAAATTAAATTTATGGCTCCAGAACTGGATTTCTGCTAACACCTAAAGCTTCAACAACAGAGCTCCTCAGAATTCTTTGAAATTAAGGTCTGTGAATGCTAATAGTCCTTGCAATAAATTCCATAGTGAAAAAAAAAAAAAAAGTAAGAACATATATACACCTGGGCGTAAGTTATATAATATTCCACCTAGTCCTCACCAGCATGCCTCAATGTCAGCATAAAAGAACTTCTTGAGTTTGGTACCAGACAGAGCTATAGTTCCAGTTGTATCTTTACAAAAAGATACAGAAGGGGTATTTAAATAATATATTTTTAAAAACCCAAAATTAGTACGAGACTTGCAACATAGTGAAATTCCCAAACTTTTCACCAGTCAATTCTATTTTTAATATTATTTTATATTTATACTTCTATGTATTTCATTTATACTTCAACATACTCAAACCACAAGAATGTACATTTCACCAAGAACATTCATATAAAATGTATGAGATACTTATAACACACTAAATGAACAGTGTCAGGGAGAACAAGTACTTTAAGCTAATATTTTACCATCAGTTTTTGCCAAGAGGAGGTTACAAATATATTTGGCACGCTCTTTTCCTTGAAATGGGACATTAACATACACTGTACTTGTGGTTTTTAGACTATATTTATGTCTTATACTGTTATTACCAAGTAGTACTAAATTTGAATGCACTTTTCTGCTCAATTTCGAAATGCTTTAGTTAAAATAATCTTCTACTGTGAGAGTAAAGACTGTCAGCTCTGTCCTACTGCTTAGTTATGACAGAGGAGAGGAAAATACCATTCGTATCCTGCTAGCTAATCATGTAAATGAAACTCATGCCAGAAAAGTCTGAATGTGACTTCATGTTTGGAGAATTTTATTTATTTATTTATTTCAAAGCGGCATGTTTACTAAGTTACGTTTTAGAAGTAAATGTGCCATTCATCAGTTTATTGTAACAAGATAAGTCTGACAAAGATATTAGAATTGCGTAATGAATCAAAGCACACTTTTTATTTTCCTGATTTTTCACAGTTTAGAACATCAGTAGAATCCCTTTCTATTTTGCTCCTTTTCAGGCTAACAGCCCCAACTTTTTCTCCTCTTTTTTTATCTAGATTCTTGGCATTATCTATAATTAGTCATAAACATTCTAACCATCCAAACTGACCAAAATTCAGCTGTAGCTTTTTAAGACAATAATGATTAAAACCAGACATTCTAAGGACTACTTACTGCGCATAATAAATTTCAATCCCTTTTTTAAGTGTACCAAAGTGTCTTATAAAGTGCACCACATTAACTAGACAGTAGAAAGGACCTTGCTAGAATAACTGTGTTATTAATTTATGAATGTGTTTCTCTGAAAGTTTGCTG